ACACTTCTTTCTTAGAATAATATCATCGGTCCACGGAGAAAGGGTGATTGACCTCTTTTCAAATGCACAAGCAACTAGATCAGACTGGGCATAAATAAACTGAATAAAGAAGAAGGGATCCTCTTATACATGAGGATCAAATACATTTTCTGAGTTTGCAAGGTCGCTAAGGACACCAGGGTTAGGAGGGAGCGGGGCCTCGCCCAGAGAGAATGGGAGAACAACTTGGTTCCGAAGGCCTGGAGCAATTACCTGCACTGCTTCTCTCTTAACTTTCTGAACTTTAACTTTCTCCTTTCCTTCCTTGTCATTATTTTTCTTTTCTTCTTCTTCAAGTTCACTGCAATAAAAAAAAAAAGGAAGAAGACACAAGCTAAGTATAATTTCCCATTTTCATTGGTAATATATTTTCAGACAGAATGAGGATTTTCCAAACCAAAGATCAGAATCAGTCTTAGTACAAATGTATCCAGTCCAAGAGGTACTATTGGGTTGTCAGAAAAGTCCTGATGCATTTTTGCAACGAGACACATAGAAAAAATACGTCATGACTTTTCTGACAACCCAATATTACTTTGCCCGTGAATGCAGATAAATTCAGTAGTTTACAATACCCTTCAAAAAGTAAAACCAAAATGCATTTTTGTCAGTATGTGACCTTTGGGTGGTCTTTTTTCTATCAGTCAATAACTTCAAACAATAATCTGAAAAAAGCCACCTGCCTTGACTTTTTAAAAAAATTGTGAAACTTGTCCTATCTAAATAACTACCATATCGATGGTGAAAGCCAGGGATAAAACCAAGTCAGATGATGAGCCCATCATCAAAATAGACCAAGTTTCACTACAAAATAAAAAATTTAAATGTTATTTTAATGGCATTAATATTCAAGTTGAAATTCAAGTTTTAGAGTGCAATAGTGATTCAAATCCAAAAAGATTCAACAACTAATATCTTGAGGTCGACCATGAGCCTAAGATTCTGGCATTCTTGCCATTTTCTACTAACATAAAGTATATCAAAGCTGGAAAAATCCTTAGCATTTATCATATCTAATCTAGCCATGACCACAGAACTAGCAAATCGAGCACGTGAGAGAAAAGCCCCAATTTCTTGAATCTCAGGCCACTGTTTACTGGCCTACTCTGTCAATCTCTCATTTTAGAAATGATGTGCATATACTTCAGATCCGACCAAGACACATGAAAGGGACAACAATAACTTTGCACCCCTTTCAACAGATATTGTTTAAATATTTTTCTTAACATTTATTTTAGTCTGAGATTCGGTAGGGGATTAGGAGTCTAAGAAGGAGAAGAACCAGAGGTGGTATGATGGAATTAATTTCTGCTGTATTGTCCCACACAATGGATTTCTGGTCCCACTCAGCAAAACAAGGGTCTTTTAGGCCCTGGACCTGGCTTATCAAGAAGGCGTTTTAATAAACACTTATTACATGAACCTGCCTCTTATGGGTGTTACTCTCTACACGAAGCCACTGATCAAAGTATTTATTTCCCCTGTATACAGTAACGTCCCTGAAAGGATAAATACAATCCTTTCTATTCCATTTCTTGTCCAGGTTATTTTAACAGCCTTTACATATTGGGCCCGAAGGTCTCTTTCCAACTGGTTTCCCCTTAAACAATATCTGAATATACTCACAGAACCATAAAATGTCAGGGGTGGAAGACAGACCAGTAAGAGCATCCCATCCAGATCATCAAACTTCTGCTCTCTCTTTGTTATGAATGACAATTACCAAGTATTATAAATGTATGTGCACCAAATTAAGACTTTTCCCATGACTTAATTAGAAAATGGAAGGATAGTTGAATAAAAAATAACACTGTCACTATGTGATTCAATATTACCTAATGTCTTGTCCATGTGCTTTTAAAATTACCTTAACATACAACCCACGGTACACATTCTACACATTTCTTAAGAAACTGACACTCAGAGAAGATTAATGATGATGATATCAGTGGAGAGATGCGGCAGATACTCACAACACGCTTGCACACATGGCACACTTGTTTCCGTGCATTTTGCCGTCTGGGCCCTGGACAGGGTCATTCTCCCTGGTGCACGCGAGGATTCCATTCCTCACTTGGGTCCGAAATTCACTGCAGAGTTCCTGGAAAATGAAGAAAACATCTTCTCAAAGCAGTGTTCTACCCTTCTTGTACCTTTGCATATTAGGAGGAATCAGTGGTGAATAAGAAATGCAGAGAAAGCAGGAAAAATAAAAGTGATTATGTGTTTAGTAAATCAATAAAAGGTATATTTTAGAAGCTTCCATCACGGGTTCAGCACTGTCCTGGCGATCTAGTGGGTCTGTAAATATATATCATCATTCTTCCGAGGGTGTTTATAATCTAGGTGCAGAAGAAGGCTGACCCAATTGATAAAGGCCAATACGAAATATATGTTTGTGTTGTGTTGCACATCACAGTCTGTAAAAGCTATGCAAGATCAAAGGTAAGAGGCCTCAGTAGGCCTAGAAGGGGCAGCTTCCTAGAAGAACTGACAATACTGCTGAGCCTTCCTGAGAAAGAAGGAAATCTTGCTGTTCATGGCAACTTGGATGAAGCCTGAGGGCACTGCGCTACGTGACATAAGTGAGGCAGAGAAAGAACTGGATGATCTCACATGTGAAATCTAAAAAAAAGCCTAACTCATGGAAACAGAGAGTAAAGTGATGGTTACCAGGTGCTGGGGGATGGGAGGAATGGGGAATTGGTTAAGAGGTACTTCCAGTTATAGGACAAATAAGTTCTGGAGATCTAACATTGAACATGGTGATTACAGTTCACAATACTGTAATGTATACTTAAAAGTTGCTAAGACAGTAAATCTAAAATGTTCTCAACACACACACACACACACACACACAATGTAATTGTGTGATATGATGGAGGTGTTAGCTAAAACTGTGGTGGTAATCATTTTGCAGTATGCAAGTATACCAAATCAACATATAGTACATATTAAACTTATACAATGTTATATGTCAATTATATCTCAATAAAGCTGGGAAAAATAAAGAATAATGTGCAAAAAAAAATATTGCTGAGTGTTGATTTGTCTTCAGAAGGCTGAGAAAAAAAAAAGAAAAGCATGCTCAAACTAAGAAATAAACATATATCTGAAATAAAATTATGGAGGCTAGAACAAGTATGACACCTGAAGAAGTTGACACCTTTCTGAGTGCTACTTGCTAAAGTTCAAGGGTGGGAGATGCATATTTGAAACAAGAGAGTAACAGAAGTGGAGAGAAAGAGAAATGTGTTAGGATCACTTGAAAAACCTAAGATGACTTTGCAACTGATCAGGTATTATGGATAAAATGAATTTTCAATTCTAAATTACCAATAAAAAGATGGTTCCAGATAACAGAAATAAAGTTATTGAGAAAGTGAGTCAGTTTAAAAGTGAACTTTTAAAACTGTGCCAACTTTTCCCAAATAATTATTAGGTTTCTTCTTTGTAGCTGTTGTTAGGACACAGAATACATAAAGGTAAACCTTGTACATAGCTATTATAGAGAGGAATGAAACATCTACATACAGGCAGGTTTTGTTCTGCTACTTGTAAAATTATAAAATTATAAAAGCATGTACGGTAGATTAAAAATAATTAGACACTCAAAAATGTACTTAATAACTGTTAAATGGGGGTGAGAATACCAGTACTTCTTCCATCTTTGGGATGTGACAAAGATAAAATATGACAATATGTATGCATTTTGTTTTACAAATTGAACTAATGTGGATGATAGGGATCTTGCACTCCCTACTGGAAATAACACAGGTTCAAACGACCTGAATTGAAGTGAGTAAATTGTAAAGTGTGACATTAACAATCTGTGTCAGACAATAGAAATGTTCAAAAAGCCAAATATGGAGAATATCCCTTCCAAAGTGAGTTAACACTCCACTTTTTACGAAATGAAACTCAAAATTTGAGTTATCAGGCAATAAAATTGGGACTCTGGAAACGTCTAATCAAGACCCTTTTTTTCTGAGGTTAAAGGTTGTCTTGGTTCATTTCTGGCATGAAAATGGACCAGGAAAAATGTCTGCTAATGAGATATGTAGAATGCTATTACAGAGAAACAAATGTCATGGCATAGCATTAGCGTTTCTGAGAAAGTTACCTTCACAGCTTCTCTCTTAGCCTTTCTTGCTCTTGCTTGTTGTTGACTATAAGGAACGGGGGGAAAAAAGAAAGAAAGAGAAGAAATGGATCTTAATATAACAGAGTAGATCCTGAACATTTACAAGTGGATCATTCAATGCTATGACTATTCTCAAGCAACCCCAAAGATCCACTCACGGTAGTTTGTAATTTTACTGGATAATAAATTAGAATGATTCACCTTAGAATGGCGTGCAAAAGAAAGTCCCTTAATGAGTAAACCTTTTTAGCTTCCCAGCAAATATACTGTCATAAGACTTCCTTATTTGCTGATTTTTTTTTTTGCATTTGTAACACCTCCTTATAAAGTGACATTTGGCTTCTGAGAGGCAGTGTAGTATGGTGGTTAAGAGGAAAGACTATGGAGCCAGGTTGCAGAAGGAACACCAAAAGTGTCTTAACCTCTTTGGGGCTTCCTCATCTTTAAATGGGAAGGATATAGAAGGGGTAGGAGAGGTAATAAGAGTACTTTTCTCATAGGACTGTTGTATTAAATGAGTTGATACCTGTAAAGCAATTAGAATAAGAATCTAGTCCATAATAAAATGATTGACAAAAGTGATATAAGTGATTGGTATCATAATCATTGTAATCATTATTAGAAGTGAATTCTCCAGAAATAGGCATATGATGGAAATGAAGTGGGGGTGACAGTTCTTAACCATTTGGGATAACTAACAGTTGCAAGTTGAGTTTACTGAACTGGCTCTATAGCACCGTTGAATCTACAACACAAATAATACAATCATGTTGTACAGACAGAAAAAAAATTCAATAACTTGTGAAAACGTCTTAATATGTTCCAATTGATATAAGGCTTGCTCATTAATCAAACTACAACTTTTTTTAAAAGCTGAAAAGACTGCATGTGGTTTGAAACTGTGCAAGAAAAGACTATATGGCCTTTGCTAACATATCCATAAAATATGAGGTGATAAAACTTTATTTCTTGATATGGCATTTTATAGTGATGGGAGAAAATTACTAAAATTGCTCCAGAACTGTGAGGTTTCTCATACTTCTTTAAAAGAAAAACTGATCTAAACTTTATCATGAGTCTAAGTTGAGTAAAAAATTCGGGAAGCATTTTCTTTCCATACTGGATGGAAATTATCAGAGGAAGCAGCAGAGCTGGCCACCAGATGGCAGCGTTTCTTCCTTGTCACTGAAAGATGAAAGTAAAGGTAAAGAAAACCAGACTAAATAAATCAAATCTAAGTACAGGCAACTGTAGCTACCCTGAAGTTGATAATGGCTTTGATGAATGGCTATATCCTCTCTGCACCATACAGTGAGAACTATTATCATTTTCATTTTTCCCGCGCTGATATTTCTAGTATTCTCAACTTCTCTGGGCCTTTATTTTTCCATCCAAAACTTGTAATAATACAGACGCTATTTCATACGCTTGTTCTGAAGATTAAATGAGATTAGGTAGCAAAACTCTTAGCAAGTATATGATGCTTATATGCATTCAATAAACGTTAGTTATGATGATTACATGGTCATTATGTTGACTTCCACCTAAGAGATTTTTAGTGCTTCTATGGCCAAACACTGCTGGGTTATATTACTCTCTACCAGGGAAGACTGCATGACTCAAATATCTTTCAGATATTCTGGGCATATAAAAAATAAATTGGAGTATCCCTTGGGACCATGATCAAAAGACTAAAGGGACATCATAGGCTCTTGTATGAGGGGACATATCATGTCATTTATTCTACAAATATATTTCAGCTCCCTGTAAATTGGCATCTAACTCCTACACAATCAAATCACCATCCCTGAAGCAGCATTTCCTACTCTACCTATTGCAAAGTTCATTCTCATTTTGCACCCAAACCTGTCTTTCTATAGCTCTCATCCATTTTAATTCTATTCCTTGAGGTCACACAGAATGAATAAGAAGAAAGGTAGTGAACTGAAATATATAAAATCTAAAGTTTGCTGTGCACCATAATGATATTCTACATGTACTCTCATCCATTTCCTATTTTAGCTGATAATCCTTCAGAAAACTCAGAGCAGTCAGTAGTTATCAGCGTTCTCTTCTCTGAATAAAGGGTTCTGAGTTCTTTCTGAAATATCCTACAGGAAATTATTCTGCATCTTTTCACAGCACAATAATTATCATCTTAAAGCTTTCCACTTGCTTTTTGGTTTTTGTCGGGGGGGTTGTTTGTTTGTTTGAGTTTATTTACATGTGACACCCCAAATTGAAGGCTACACTGAAGAGGAAAATGCATTATTCACAATTGTCTGAAAAGTTCTCTTGGTTCCATCTCCCCATTCCTTCAGAAGACCTGGGCTCTACTCACAAGAAGGCCTCGCACATGGAGCAGGTGTTGCCGTGCATTTTCCCGTCTGGGCCCTGGATGGGGTCGTTCTCTCGGGTGCAAAGGAGTGGTCCATTCTGCCTGGATTTGCGGAATTCGCTGCACAACGCCTGTGAGATCAAGGAAGGAAGTTTGAGGTGTTGAACACAGGTTGGATCATATTGCAGAAACGGCTGAAGTTTAGCCTTTTTCTTAAATGGGGGTCAGCAATTGGCCTATTTTAGAATAGCTCTTAACTTTGAAGATGTGAATATTTTTAAGTGACAAAAATAATGGACCCTCCACCTAGAAATCGTTACATATGCACATGTGTATATGCACATATATAAACAAACCCATGAACACAAACTGTCCAAATGTTTCATACAGTTTCAGGGCATGTATGGGTTCCCTGAATCCCATCTATGGATCTCAGGTCCACATGCCTCTGACTTGGAGAAGGTCCTCTCACCTCAAAGGAAATTGTATTTGCAGATTGTCGCTTATTTCTTGATTCAGCTTCCTTCTTTTTCTTTTCCTCTGCTTCTGCTTGGCTAAAAGGGAGTGATTAAGAAAGAGATGTATAAGAATCATAGAATCTCCAGGTTGAAAGTGATCTTGAATATCATTTAATTGCTACAGTTAATATTTATTAAATTCTTATTATGTGCCTAACCTTGTGCTCATGCTAATGAAGTCCTCACAGATGCATGTGGCAAAACTACTACTACAACCCCAATTTACAGAAAAGACAGAATGTGTTACTTTCTCAAGGACACAGCTAATAAATGCAGACTAAGGATTTAGACCCCAGTCTAGAGATGGTTTTCTAAGCTTCCAATACTCACAACTGTATCTCTGATTACTATCTAGCTCTGCTTTGATCTGCCAGTAAATTCTCTACCCACATCATCCTTGAAATCCCATGTATGTCATTTCATCCTTGAAGTCCTTCAACCATTAGAAAGCTCCCCCTGACATTGAGCCGAACCTATCTTCCAGGCCTTTCACTCACTGGCCCCACTTTCATCCATGGAGACAACCTAGAACGAGCCCTGTTCCCACATTTAAAAACAAAAACGGCTTGGGTATTTTAAGACTGTGACTTTTCCCTGGCTGAATGTGCCAATCCTTAATAACCCTCAAAGGACATGGTTTTTACACATTTTTCCATTTCCTCTAAATATGTGATTTAGAGGAAGTTGAAAGAGCCCCCCATAATGGAATACAGAAATGAAGCAGAACGTTCTTCTGAACTCAGTGATTACATTTTCTAGAATCCCATTTATAATAATGGTCTAGTGGGAGAGAGAAATGTCAAATAGTCACACATATAAATTTACAGCCACTGACTGTGAGCAGGATGAGGAAGCAAAAGTCCTGGTTAGCGTAAGGGAGGAATTCAGGATTCGGGGCATAGAGGAGAGGCTTCAACAAAGCTCTTCAAGCTGACAAGACCCATGAGAAGAGTTAACTTCACTAGATCCTAGCCATTCCTTATTCCAAATCATTCCCCAGGTCCTGTGTAGGAACTGAGTTACGTTTTGCATATCACTTTGTTTGGTCTGGGATTCATTGTGGAATCTCAGATGATTTCCTATTCCACTCTGCACGGGTAAGATCCTTGTTCTACATTGTTTACACCACCACAGGAACTCAACCGGAGATTGACATGCAGGAATTATTCTTTGATGATTTATAACATCAGGCAAAAATGTGGCACACGATGCCGTTGACAAGAAACAAACACAATTTAAGAAATGAAATTCAATAAAGCTCAAAAAACTCAGAAAAAGAAATGAGACAGAAAGGACAAAACCTCTCTCATTTTCCCAGCTGCGGCTCTACTCACAAGAAGGCCTCGCACATGGAGCAGGTGTTGCCGTGCATTTTCCCGTCGGGGCCCTGGATGGGGTCGTTCTCTCGGGTGCATGGGAGTTTCCCGTTCCTCACAAACTTGCGGTACTCGCTGCACAGCTCCTGTCAAGACAGGGAAAGTAAGTTGGACGACCTAGCATTCCTATTCAAAGCACAAGATTGGAACATTGGCAGAAACTAATGTTTCTTCAAGCCCAGGATTGTAGTTGTGTTGCTCTCAAATGTAAAACTCAATTCAAGCAACAAAACTCGTCAGTTGTTAAGAGATGGGTAGAAATAAGACATACTGGGATATCACAATATAATAAACTAACTAGACAGGCAAACTCCACTATAATCTAAACAAAATGAAACAGTTGTAAACATATGGGTACAAGAAAAGCTGAGAACTCAGGGGTTGGGACCATGAAATCTGACTGTGGAAACCAGGGGAGGCGGCAGGGAACAAGAAGAACTTGAGTGGAACTGTGACGAGTAAACAGGATTTTCCTGGGTAAGAAATGGATTGGGAAACGTGCATACTAGGCTGTTAAAATAAGCTGAGAAACACGAGGAGGACACTACATAGCATATAGTAGGTGAATTTCTAAATGAATCCTATAGTTGATGATGAGCTATATGTGAGCTTAAGCAGAGCAGTGCTGGAATCTGATTAATATTTTGAAACTTTAGCTATGTTAGGAAGAATAGCTGGATAAGGGAAAGAATAGAACTTGGAGGGAAAATCAGGAGACTTTCATCCTCTAAACAATAGGTGATGATAACTTACATAAGATGATGGAAACAAATACTACAATGTGTCAGAGGTAAACCCATGTTATGTGTGTGGGATCGAGGTATCTTTATCCCAACTGATATGTGAAATTTCAAAAGCTCAATGTAGAAAATATACATGTAGAGCCTCTGAAAAGTGGTGAGCAAAAGCTAGCACAGTCTGTAATTGATGACACTAGAACTGGACCTCAGTTTTTCAGGCTTCAAATCACTTATTGCTTATTGTACAGGCTTAGTCTCTGCAGCAGCAAGAATTCATCAAGCTCCCACAGTATTCATCTCAATGTCATCCCCAGGTTGAAGGGTTAAGATTTTCTGGGATTTTTACAGGGCCCCATTCCAGCCTTTGGGCGCTTTGAAGTACGTTCAAATTATAGTGTCAAGTAGCATTTGTTGGACGGGTTCCACTCACTGAAAATGAGGGTGCTTTTTCAGATTCTCTTTTACTTTTTGCTTGTGCCTTTTTCTTTTCTTCGGCTTCTGCTTGGCTGAATGGAAGAGAAAAAGAGAGGAGCTGTAGGACCAAATACAGGCAATGATTTCTCCACTTTCCTGCACTGCTAACCTCTCCTCCTTCCTTAGGGAGAAGCAATTTTGTCCTTTGATCACCACACACCAATGAGAAGCAACAAAACAGCCTCCAGTATGGTAAGATACCATAAGTTCTTCACAGTTTCTGCTTAACATTATAAAGGAAGATAGTGAGCTGGCTGAGTGGCTCAGTTGGTTAAGAGCTCGCTCAAGAGTTTGAGCTCTGAGCAACAGTGGTTCGAGTCCCGGCCCGAGCTGAGCAGCCGCTGAGCTGCCAACAGGTGGCAAGATGGCTCAGCTAAAAAAAAATGGAAGATAGTAGTTGTGGATCTATCTGAAAAACTTGCTTTCTATAAATTACTTATCTTGCCTGTTGTTAGAAAAGAAACATCATTAATGTCCATAAAGGAGGTTATCAAAAGTGGTGCCATGTTGACATCACACCTGGAGGCTGAAAGTGACCTTAACAAAGCACAGTGACTGGTCCCTTTGTTTCACAGAGAGGTGAGGCAGGGAGGGCTTTGGCTACACTCTCAGGATATGACTACAGCTAACCAAGGTTGCTCCCCTCAAGCCTATGATCTATCTATCACCTCATGCAAACCTTGCTTTCTTAATTCAACTGAAATGTGTTGCTTACTCATGGCTGTGTTATCTAAAGACAAAATGTCAGACGGGTGGGAAAAGGCCAATAATTTCATACACAGATAAACCCAATGAGCCTAAATTTGCTTTGAACAATAGAATTGCTTGGTATGTACAGTTCACTGAGGATATTTCAACCATATGTGGTTGTCAATCAAAAAACCATAGATTCAAAATGTAAATCAACTACTTAATCTGAGCTCAATACGCTGAGAACAGTTTCAAATTTTGAAGGCAAACTGTCAATTCGAACTTACTGAGAAATGTCACATGATATAAAGTAACATTTACTGAAGTTGTATAAGAATTCATGGTTGTTTCATGGGCAACTTTAAATCTACTAGTCAATTTCTGCATTAAGTGCTAACTTTGGTCCCTAACACCTCTGAAAGATTAGATACCTATAAACCTGTACAACAGGTTCACACATGAAGCTTCAGCAGTAAGAAGACCTTGATATTTGCACAAGCTCATGTTTGTCAGGATGTTGCAGTGCTAACAGAATGAGTGTCAGCGGGGAAAGGGCTTGGAACAAATAGCTCTATGCACCTACTCCCAGTACAAATAGCTCTATGCACCTACTCTATTGCTAACGTTCCCAGGGGAACTTATTCAACTCCATTCCCTACTTTGAGCCACAGTTTCCCCACCTATGAAAGAAGCTGGTTCTGTTAGTTTACCTGTAAGGTCCCATCTGTCCTTGACATTCTAAAACTCTATACTCACTAGAAAGCTTGACACATGGAACACAAGTTGCCATGCATTTTCCCATCTGGACCACGAACGGGGTCATTTTCTCGGGTACAGAAAAGCACTCCATTCCTTACATGATTCTGATATTCACGGCAGAGTTTCTGAGTAATGAAAATAAGACAGTTTAGATACAATTCTCTGTGGATAAATTTTAGATGTTCTTTACCACAGACGTTGAAAAAGAAGAATTAAGAATAAAAAATAAAACATTTAGGATTCAGTATCATCTAAAACTTTTGTGATATTTCTCTCCTCTTAATATTTATCCATTTAAGTATTCAATAAATGTATTAAATGAAGGGGATATACATATAAATGTGGCTTAGCTTCCAAATCACTCAAGCAGAAAGGATAAGGAATTGCAATATGATAAGCTGAGGGACATGACACAGGCCTGAATTAAGTGAGCACAAGCACGCAGGAAAGAATGATTGGCGGATGTTCAGAGAAGAGCTTGTATCAGAGTTGTATCTTTAGGATATGTCCAGGAAAACAATGGGGCAAAAAGTCCTCCAAGAGGAATTATGACAGCAAAGACACAGAGGCAGAAAACAAATGTTATTTCAAGATAATCTATTGCAGCCATGAACACAGTGGCTAAAGAATTAGCTGGGCAAAGAGAGGACGGTTTGGGACTTGGTCAAGGAGGAGACCTTAAAGATCAGTCAAAACCAGGCCACTAAACTTTGAAAGGAATTTGAACTTTATTCTTAGGAAATGGGAAAATGAAAAATATTTATAGCAGAGAAGTAAGGACATAATCAAATATTTGTTTCCAGAAGTGTGGAGATTTTGAGTGACTAGAGACTGAAGATAGGAAAAGTATAGAAGAAAGGAAAGACAGGGAGAGAGGGAGGGAGGAAGGAAGGAAGGGAAGGAAGGATTGAAGGATGGAAGATAAAAGAAGAGGAAGAAGGAAAGAGGAGAGAGGGGAAGGGAGAAATTGGAAATGAAAAATATTGTAAAAGAATACTTGAGGGACACTTAAGAACTAAATTAAAAGGACTTTGTAATCTAGGATTGAAGGGAAGAAAACAGTTGGATAAGCCTAGGCAATAAGATGGAGTTACATGAAGGAAGAAGGTGAAGTGATGGAGTGGGTAAATTTTTAAAACTATGAAGTACACATCACAGGAGGTAGGATAACTCTCTCTGTAAGAAATAAGTTAAATAGGGTTTCTTCATGGAGTGAAATGGTCCAAATATACTCTAGGATACCTTCAAATATGGGATTTTCATAATGCCATTGGTTCATGGAAATATTTCCTACTCTATGAAAACAATGTGGAAAATGAATTGCATCTTGAGGACTGAGGAAGATTTTGGCTGGAAGTAGAGACATCAGGCAGGTGGCTAATTATAGTTAATCAATGCAAAGGAAAGCTATTAGGTATCTGAGCTAAGATGGTAGCATAGGAAAAAAGCAGATGACTAGATGGGGTGTTTAGAAAGTAGACTGTATTACCATTTTAAAGGGAGCATATTAAAATTTTCCATTTACATTGTTTTCAAAACAAGAACTTCCAAAACAACTACCACATATTTGAAGAAAGATACATATCAAACAAGATAATGCTGTGATATATACCTTCATTTAGGAATGCGAAACTATTTTACTAAGATGACTTGAAGAATTTCCTCCAAATAGAGCTAAAAATTGTAATGCCATAATTATTTTTCTAAATCTTATAAAATAATACCTATAAATTTGTTTCCAGAAAACCCATCAGTCATGGAGGAAAAATGAACCAATATTGGAAATGCATTCTAGAGGAAAATGCCCACACGCATGCCTCAAAAGTCCTAACTAGGTTGATCAAACTAATTCTCACCTCAGTTTCTCTTTTAACTTTAACTTTTTCTTCAGCCTTTCTCAGGTTTTCATTTGCTTTATTTTTTCCTTCTGAAAAACGCCGCTTGCTGGAGAAAGAAACAAAAGTAAATAAATGAATATAGATGCTTTAAACTTTCATGTTACAAAATGGTCACTTAGGTGCAGGTGGAAAAACAGCTAAGTGTTCCTGAGTTCTTGTAGGAATACTTTCCAATCACTGTTAAGTCCCTTATTAAAATGAAATCTTCACTATTTCCCCAAAGACCCCTCTGTGTATGTCATTCCCTTCCACTGTAATGGACTTTTTTTGTCATCTTCCTTTCTTTTAAATGTCTCCAGCTTAAATTCTACCTTCTTTAAGAAGACATCTCAGACCTCAAAGTGGAAATGAGTTCTATATCTCTCACTGGATTTTCATACCTGAATATTCTCTTATGGGACAGTTTTCATTCTGTCTTGCAGTGTGTGTGTGTGTGTGTGTGTGTGTGTGTGTGTGTGTGTGTGTGTGTGCGCGCGCGTGCGTGCGTGCACGCATGCCCACATCCATGGCTTATTTCTGCTATTTAGCCTTAAGCTTCTTGAGAACAGGGATCTTTGTTCATAAATTCATTAGACACTTAGTTAGTAACTACTTTTGGGCAAGCACTGGCCTGAGCCCTGGGCCCATAGTACAGTAATGCACAAAACAAACATATACACCCATCTTGGAACTTATAGCCAAGTAGAGAGGACTGGCAGTCAACAGGTAGTCATAGAAATAATTATACAGTGACCAAGTCCAATGACTGTTATGAAATAACATCATTACGAGTTATAAGGATTGAATTTCAATTAGGGATTTTAAGAGGTCTTTCTTATCCAAGGAAGTATTATCTTGAAATGTAGTACCCAAAAAGAGAAGACAATAGCTGGCCAAGACAGAGACAAACTGGCAGCAGGACAGCATACAGGAAAGAGTTTACAGAGTTTAAGGCTCTGGAAGAAAGTGTGATGAGACCTTGTCTGTGACATCATCATAAATGCTATAATTTACATATTGTGGGGTTTGCTCTTCCCCTAAAGTCAGATGTCCAAGATGAAAAGGTAAAGTTAATCCAATTCACATGTAAACATGAATTTTTTGTGGGCATCCCATCTAACTCTGTCACAATGAAATAATTACTGAAGGAAACAATCAAAGCCTTGCTACCTGCTTTTACCCTCATTCTTTATTATAACTATCTCATAAAAAGGCTTAGAAAGGTCATGAGAGGAGATGTTAAGAAGTATTTTCTAACCCAGTTTTCCAACTGAAAAAAATAGAATAGAATCCATCTGTACTCAAAAATAGATAGCATGAGGATCTACTTGGTCAGTGGTATTGTGATTTGTAGAAAACAGACAATTGTTAAAAAATTCTCAACAACAAATCCTCCCCTCGACATAGTTCTTACTCATCATTCCAATCAAGCTCCACTTCACTGTCTGAGTCACTACAAAGAAACCACGTCTGTACTCACAAAACTTCAGCACACAGGGCACATTTGTTGCCATGCATCCTGCCATCAGGGCCACGGACTGGGTCGCTCTCCCGTGTACAAAAAAGTCTTCCATTTCTCACTTGTTTTTCATATTCCTTGCAAAAATCCTTTAAAAAGACAGGAAATGACATTTAGCACTTTTGTACTTTTTAATACAGAAAATGTACATCACGGGTTTGTAGTAAAAAAATGTCAGGTCTTGAAGGTCTTGTAAACACATGTAACGTATTGAGAATTAATAAGAAACAGTAATTACATTGTGAAATTACTCTGTCTACATCTGCTATGTGATCTATTTGTTAACAGGCCAAAGAGCCTTGGAAAGAATAAGGTTGAGCAAATAGTTCTTGCTAGCTTTCAAATATATGAAAAAGGATAAGAAAAAAAAACACAAAAAAATATTATGAAGTTTCAACAAAGACATAACAAAACACAGCAGCCAAGATCACAACAAAAAAGTTGACAGTGAGCGGAATAAAGAATCTGTTGAGATGACATGCATAAACATTACTGAGTATGGGTCAAGTCAAGCACAATCCAAACTAGTTGGCAAGGAAAAAGGAATGAGATGGTATCCAAAAGCATTACGTTGATTTCAGTTTGTTTTCTCTGTGGATCTGAGGGTGATTTTTATGTACTCTGCCTCCTTTATTGATGTTCATTTCTAACATGTAGGTGGAAAGCCCAGAGAGTGAATCTAAGTTTCCTTTACTCCCCATCTTAGATAGGTAGAGCATCAAGACAAATATTTATTTAGAAAGCCTTTATAAGGTGGTGACTTCCCAAAAACTCTGAAACAGGTTTGTACCCAGATTTTCCGATGCTTTGGTTCAGTACTTCTAGGTTTTCTCTGTGTTTTAAAAACTCTATTTCATGAGGGTGAAACTTACACACACACACACACACACACACACACACACACACCAAATTACTCTAGACTTGGGAATCTCTATGTCAATAAACAGATTTTTTTACAATACATAGGAAAATGAAAAAACTTAAAAAAAAAATGCTTCTTTCTAGCCTTCTTTTCAACTATTACCCTCATCTTCCCACTTCAGCCAAGAAAACACGAGCATAAAGAGTGTGGTCTGGAGTCAGAAGACCTGGGCAGCTAGATTCTGCTTCTAACTCACTGGGAGACCACGGCAAAGACCTACCACCTTTGAAGCCCAAATCTTACCACCTACACAATGAAGTTTTTGGAACAGATGCTCTTTACGACCTTTTTTAGAGCTTGTATTTTCTGACTTTTTAAAAATCACACATATTTCATTAGGATTCTTTAAAAGAGAATCCCAATTGCCTCCTAATAAGAAGATACTTGTTTTTGGAGGAGCAATGGGTATGCTCCAATTTTTCTGGTTGTAACAACCTAGAAATACAAACGCAGACGACTGCTCATCATAGCATGGTAATAAAATTAATGCTTAATGATTCCCATAAGAAAAACAACGATAATTTCAGTTTATAGGTTGTGAGTCATCCGAGGAGATTCTCAAGAAATACTTTTGTGAGCAACTTACTGACAGTTTAATTATGGGGCAGATATTGAGCCATCACTCTAAAGCAATCCTACTCAACATAATCACGTCCAATGGCCCCACCAAAACAATGACCCCAGCCACAGAGAGGAAGAGGGGAAAAAAGCTGAGACATGATTAAAGACAGGAAAGAGAACTCCTTGTGTTCATGGAGCAATAACATGCTGACTATCACAAAATGACTGAAATTTAACAACGACTGCTAAAGAACTGCTCTGTGGATTTCAGTGAGTGTCGAATAAATTGTGGATATCGTTGAATCTTCCATGTTTCTTAACTGAAACACTGAATGCTCTGTTAATGGTGGGAAATTTGCTTTATTGAACAGCATTACAAAGTGGAAGGTCAGCCCCTGACTACCAGAAACTGGTAATCTCCCTTAGGAAAACATATACTCTGCAATCCACAAAAATAGTATACATGTATTGGCACAAAAGGGTGCAAGACAGAATCACAGTCTAACAGGAAAGCAACCTGAGATCATTTATCCAACCTCCTTAAGGCCCAGAGAGAAGAGGTGACTTGCTCAGTTTCACACACCCAGATCATGGCAGAACTAAGGCTAAAACTCAGGTGCTCTGACTTTTCAAGACAAGGCTGGTCATTGAGCAAAGTGACAGCTATCACTTTTATTGAAAAGGGTTTAATAATCTTGGCGATTTGAGAAAACCAAGTTGCATTACCTACAATGCCTATTCTAGTAACAAAATGAATAAGATTTTATACTAGATGGAAAAATTAAAGCATCTAATAATTTGGAAAAGCTTAATTTTCAGGGTATTTTTAAACCACAATCTCAATGTTTGAGATTTTTGTTTAAACAGAAGCAAGGTCTTTATAAGTGCAGGGCTCACTGAGTGTAATAACCATAATGGAAAAATGAGGAACTCCAATTTCTGTCAATGGGATTAAACATAAGATATGCCAGTGGCAATAGTGTTTAAAAGACTCTAGAGGGCTGGCCGAGTGGTGCATTGGTTAAGAGCTGGCTTGGGATGCCAACTCTGAGCAGCAAGGTCCTGGTTCGGATCCCACATGAGGGCCAGTGACACTGCACCTTCTACAGCTAAGATGGTGAACAACAGCTCAACCTCGAGCTGGGCTGCCATGAGTCACCAGCGATGGCGTAGTCTGCAGCCCCTGCTGCAGTGGGCTGCCATAAGCTACCCTATGTGGCCAGCAGCCAGCATGAGCGGCCGGCAGCCGGTATGAGCTGCTAAGAGCCACCGTGAGTGGCCGTCCAGAGGCCGGCGAGTGACTGAACGGCGAGTGAGCAACGATAATACCAACATGGGCCAGTGAAGCAACATCCTCTACAACTAGACTGAAGAACAAAAGGACAGCAACTTGTCTGTTCCCCTTCCCCGACTCCCCAACACTGTTCCACTCCCCCAATTCCCTAATAAAATCTTTAAAAAAAAGACTCTAGAATTATTTAATTATTTTAATGTTATTCCTGTCTAATGTATATTATGTTGCATTTTAAAAAATAATGTATCGAAAGAAAGATTAACACTAAGACAGGGAGCAGTCTGGTAGAAATTAAGCAGAATTTAATTTGCATAAACTTTCTGACTTACACTTTTTTTTAAGCAAGCAAAGAGAGCAATTACGTATTTTGAGCTTTTAGTGGGAAATGCTGTTTAAATTTGAATCTTGTGATTAATATACTAGGAATCATCAACTTGGGGAACTGTGAAATTAAGGGGGAAAATTCAATGTAATAATGAAGAACAATTACATTATTAAACTACCTCAAACAGTCAAGTATACGTTTATTAATATTTATAGCCACAAGAAACAAATTGTGTTGGTGAGTAATTTACCTTTTCAGCACTTCTTCGAATTCTGGTTTCATTGTGTTGCTTGGCATTTTCTTCAGCTTCCTTTAAGCTGTTAGGTAAAAAAATAATTGGTCAGTTTATGGCTCAATCATCATTTCAGTGTCCAGTTTTGTGCTAAGCACTTTCATATCCTTTGTCCTAACTTGTTAAACTGATCCACTTAACGTGACACAAGCTTTTCTCTGTCTTGAAAGTCTGAGCCAGAAAATTGCTAAAGATAAGGAAGGGTGTGAAACTGACTCACTGACAGTCAATTAGAAGCTTTGTTCTGTAAAACTGACTGGGTGTAACTCCCTGATTGACAAACAGAAGATTGTCAGGAAAATTCCTTTTAACAGGCAGAACCAAGAGCTTTAAAACAATGCTGTGTCAAGGGTGAAACCAAACTGAGTATCTGAAATACTGCCATCCACACCCATATGTATAGATATTTATACCTTGCAAAAGTATTTGTTTGCTTCATGTAAAAGCATTATTGTTAATAAAAACTACATGGAGCTGAACTTCAGAGTCCTTTCATATCTGTTATCTAATTGCAGTCTCCTCCTGAGATAGGCATTATTATCTTAGTCCTACAGAGTAAGAAGCCAGGAGGTAAACAGAACAAATTCACTTTTTAGCTGGTGCATGAAATGAATCAGAAAGTTACAGAATTAGTGCAGGTTTGAACACTAAAAGCACATGTCTTCTAGATTAAAAAAAAAAGTGGAAATAAGACTGATTTCCTGTCCGGAAACCAGTGATAATCACTGTTTTGTAAATCTGAATTCTACAACAGTGCACTGTAATTTTCAAAGGCAGGGGTGAAGTTTATTAATCTGTAAATCTTTTTCTGTCCTGATTTTAAAGATCCAATGATGGATGTAGAGGTCACTTTAAGGCTTGCCAGCAAACAGGTGAGTCTATACCTTGGTTAGCACCCAGATTAAAGACTCTGGGTCATATTTATACCTTGGTCTCAATGTTCAGAGCCAAGTCAGGCACTCTCAGAGGAAAATTAATCCAACAGTCCCTCTCACGAAGTTCCACCTTTTATACTAACAATGAACCCAGCTATATGACATTATTATTGTTATTATAATTATTATTTTAAATTAGGTTGTCACTTTTATGAGTCTCTATACATTCCCAAATGAAGCAATGCATGTCAAAATGATGACCTAGATTATTCCATATGAAAGTGCTTTTTAAATTTTAAAGCATTGTGACTTATAAAATATTGTGCCTTTTCAAGTCATTATAATTAAAGAAATTAAGAGTCTTGAATGTAACAGCATAACCACCTTATCTACTCTTTTTAAGAAACACCTCATCTACTCCTTTTAAGAAACTTTAGCAGATGATATGAATTAAAAAGAGAAAAGCCACTCTGGGAGCCAAAACTATTTCAGCTTATGAAGACAAAGTATTACATGCCTCCTGAAAAGGACTGTCTGTTTCTGTGGAGTGGTTCTTAGGACAGCAACCCAGCGCATCCCCATAAGACCCGCCTGTTTGACCTGCTTGGGGATGACGATACTCACAACAGCTCGGCACACATTGCACACTTATTGCCGTGTGTCCTTCCATCAGGACCAAGAACGGGATCATTTTCCCTTGTGCATCCAAGTCTTCCATCTTTCACGTAAGGCCGAAAAGCACTGCATAGATCCTGAAGAACAGGGAAAGAACTTAACATCCGCCATCCTGATTGGAATGCTTACAACACTGTTTTCAGAAATGTTAAGGAACTCAGTGCCTGTCTGCCCCATGCATACTAGCCACCTAGAGCAGTCCCAAACGTGTAGAAATAGCTGGGTAAGTATTGTGTAATTCGTATGGATAACTATGAAACTCACTTATGTATTCACTTATAGGTAAACATGGATAACCTACCGTGTGCTAGAACTAAGGTCGAACACAGTCCTTGCCCTCAATTTGTTCATAGTCAACTGGGTGACACAGGCAAAGACAGATTTAAAATATGTGCTCAATGTTTTTGGTGGAAGGAACCTCAGATGCGTCTAAAAAGGGCACCAAATCTTAATTTACGAAAATCATTCAGCTAGAAAAAGTCAAGTGGGACTTACCATCAGAGGCTCAGAGAATTTTAGAGTAGAAAGAGTTATTTATTTCAAATCTTATTTGTAGACACAGAAACATGGGTACAACATGATTACACAATTTGCCCAAGGTCTCCTGACAGTAAGTGGCAAGGCGGGGCTTTCAACTCAGGTTAAGTGACTGAAGTGTAGTATCCTTTCTACTATACATGTAGTTTCCTTTTAATTTCGTTTTTCTTTTTCTCTTTTTCTTTTTAGTTTTCATAGAAAGCAAAAATAGAACTGAAAGGTCTAACTACCATGTCACCTGCTCCAGTTTCAGGAACTATCAATTGTTTCTCACCAAACGAGCAGCAGTACATCAAGAATCACTCCCAACCACCCCATCAAAGAAGGAAGAGAAAAGCATCTTCTCTCTCTTGGTAGTCAGTCCCCAATATTTCCCACCACGCTGGCATTTGTCCTCACCTGCTCTGGATTACTGCTTTCACACTCCCCTGCATGTTTTACGCCAACTTGGGACCTGGTTTTCCTGGAATTGAAAGTTAGTAGACACAGCAGTTTAGTATCACAGAACTTCTCTTCATTCAAGTGTAAGATGGCTTCTTGTATTGCGATTCTCCTTTGCTCTTGAAAGCAGGTGTCACGTTGCATTCCTGAGTTACTCTTTCTAATGAGAACCTGTGTTCATAACTTGGAGTCAAAGGAATGGAATCTCACTGATGGGCTGAAAAGAGTCACATCTGTAAATATTATTTCCAGAATTTCTTTTCCTATGTCCAGAGGGGATCTACATTCGAAGCACAGGAAACAGCAAAGCCCGAAACCAGACATTAGCTGCCCCTCAAGGATCTTTGCTGTTGTTGATGTTGTTGTTTTAAATAAATAAATTCAAGTTTATAGTATCTAGCACGCTATTATACCATCTTTCATTTGGGTGGTGGTAAGTATATTTTGTTTTTTTATGGAAAGTATATAAAGTCCTAGTAATTAATGTTATTCAGTCTAATAAATAGAGCTTTAAAGCATATCTGAAAACATAGAAGAATCATAAATGTAAGATAGACTTCCTATTTTCTAAAAAGATAAGGCAGGTTACAACTATAGCATCTGTATAACAATAAAAATACAATAAAAACAGTATAAAGAAAAAACTAAGCAGTTAAAAATGATAAGAAAAAAGTTATATCGAACGATATCAGCTGAATAAAACAAAAACACTGAGTTCCACTGTGATTTCAGAGCCTTCTAATAGCTAAGAGCTAAGAAAGAAACACAATTAGCGATATGACTCTCACTGTCCCATAAAAGACATATGCCAGAAATGAGGGGAGGGAACTTTCACCTGAACCAGAGATTTAAAGAATCTATCACAGGATCTCCACACAACACATTTATAAGACACAGACCTAATAAAAACCTGTATCTTCTTCCTATGCCTGTTTTTGTTTTCTGTTTATGTTGACCCTTGGTGAGAGCTGAAGGTGTAATTTTAGAGTGTATTTCTGAACATGCAGTCACTGAGGGATCAGGGTGATTTAATTCAGTTGTGTTTTGGTCAAGACACTTGTTACAAGGAGGGATAACGCTTGCAGAACCTTGAAGAGTGAGTATCACATCCTCTGCTAGCCTTCTCAAACATTGGTTGTTAATATTTACAAAAACTGAAGGGCAGACAATTCAAGATTGCGGTCACAAGCCAGAACCTGTAAGGCAGATATGCTATCTTGTGGGCTGAAGACAATCAGGAACCAAACCTAGCGCTGAGGGTGGGGAAAGAACCAAATGGGGACAAAATATAGGACAGTGAGACGCTTTAGCCATGTGACGAAGGTTAATGACAGGAAGAAGTTCAATATTAAAAGTCCCCATTACCTACTCTGATACTATAAATTACTGAGCACTTAATAAATAACTAGAATTTGATGATTAAATAATTCTCCATGAGAAAGGGTGTATTCAGAAATAGAAAATAGGTTAAGTGTGTGTAATATATGGATATGTGTGTGTGTGTGTGCATATTTGTGCATAGATATAGGTACATCATGTCTGCCTACTTCATAGAGACAGTGACAGACATCTGGTAAATTGCACAAAAAGTGCTTTGTGAAATATAAAGTGTCATAAATATTTTTTTCTTTAAGAGTAGTAAAAGAAGTGGTCCGACTAATTTATGGATGGCTGACCTCCCACCAAATGGATTGCTCTCTTAAAGACCATAAGAAAAAAAGAATGTGTCATGTAATTATGCAGAGAACATGCTTTAGGAAGAAAGCCTGCTTCAGAAAATACTCACACGTTCTCAGCACACAGTGCACATGTGTTGCTGTATGTCTTCCCATCTGTGCCACAGACAGCTGCGCTATCAAAAGGACAGATAAAATCCTCATCTCTTTCTCCTTTCTTGAAATCATCACAATTCAACTGCAAGAGACGTGATTAAAGTACATCAAAATATTCAGTGATAAAAAAAATCCTTACATAATTAGGTTAATGTTTTAAGCCCACAGCAATAAAACCCACTAGAAAAGAAAAACATATTAAGGGGGCCATAATGAGCTAACCAAATCATGGATCCTAAAACATGGTTCAAGAACAGAGATATAATTAGATTTCACAAGGAAGAATTTCAGGATGATTTCAGCCACTCGCTGTCGGGGTAAGGTGGACCCAATCACCTCTCTGAAACTTAGTACTGTACTGTCTGTTTGTCAGATGCTGCCTGACTTCTCTATGCAGTAGTATTGTGATCCAGTAGATAGTGGATGTGAAAGTTCTCTGTAAACTATAAGCTACGAAAAGTTTCTATTATTACAGATTATGGGAGTAATCAAGAACCAGATCGCTGGGTTCACAGTTCTAACTCTGCCACTCACTAGCTGTGTGATTTGGAAAACTTACTTAACCCCTCTGTGCTTTAGTATCCTCATTTGCAAAATGCATATATTATTATCAACCTCCTAGGATTATAAAGACATCTAAACGTATTAATACACGTACAGCACTTAAAACAGTGCCCAACACATCATAGCCATTTGTTGTTGTTTTTATTACCACTGTTGTTATTTTAAATGTCTTCTCTACCAACGACCAAGCCAATAAAACTAAATACCTTTCAGGGATAATGGGGGAAATTCCCAAATCTCTGCTTTGATAATGTGACATATACTTAGGGACAAACCTGTATGGCGAGAAATAGAACTGCACAAAGTAATAACTGAAGACCAGTGTTTAAATCTCAGATCTGCCCACCCACTTCCTTCACCCCTTTGAACTTCACTTTCCTCAGCCTAACAATGGGAATTCACACCCTATCCACAGTATAGACATATGGGGACGAGCAAATGAGTACTTACGAAACATTATTTGTCAACTCACTATTGTGACATAAGCTAGCTAAAAAAGACAGAGCTAACTTGAATTTACTTTCTATCTAAAAGTCAAAGAATAAAACTGAAATTTTTTCTTTATGATGAAATCACATTGCAAAATAAATATTTTAATGCCATTATTGTTATAATACAAATATTTTCATTATAGAAACATTTAGACTATAGGTCTGTGACCTACTATGTCCTACAATATAAAAAAATAAAAGTAGGGTGGATACAAATATATAATGAATTTGTGACTCAGAAGATTACATTGAGGAACTCGCCTAGAAGACAATTTAAAAAAATAAATAAATAAAATAGAAAAGCTATAGAACATATCCCACTATTCATGTCATATGTTTAAGAAGAAGTAAAAAATAGAATGAAAACAGGATAATGGCCATATGTGTTACTTTCATTCATTCGTTTGTTCACGAATTCCTTAAAAGTCATTACGCATTCACTAGGAAGAAACTTACATTCTGAAAGGAAGAGATAGACCACAAATACAAAAACCTCAAGTTCTAGTAAGTGCTATGAAAAATAAACTGAAAAATATGATAGTACCTAGGAGAGGGGCTATTTTAAATATAGTGTCGAGAAAGATCTCTCTGCCATGGTAATATTTGAGGTTGAGATGAGATTAATGAGAAGACGCCAGCCATTAAAGATCTGAGGGAAGGACACCCCAGGCACAGAGAGCTATGATTGCAAAGGATTCCTATCAGAACTAGATTGTCCTGTTTGATGGGCAGAAAGGAGAGGTATGGATGGCGTATAAGAAAACAGCAGGGGGGCTGCCAGGTTTCTCTTAAAAAGGGATATGGATAGAGATACAGATCACAGTGATCAATTTTCACAGTCACTGCTATCCCCCTTCACCAGCAAAGCCAACAGCAGCATATTAGGTCATAAGTGTTAGCAGCGTGGTGACAGGGCGGCTCAGAAGCCCAGCTGGGAGGTGGTGAGAACAGGTGCAAGCATTTACCACCTCCTCCTCCAAACCTCAAGGGCTGCTGGTTCACAACCTACGTAGCACACCTCTTCCTACTGCTGACAACGTCTGAGAACTTACAGGTGGATTCCTGACCTGAGGAGTGGCAGCAAGCTGGAGTGTGCAACACTGATTCCAGAACCTTCAGCTCTGTGGGCCTGACCCCTTCTCCTATTCTGACACTCATCAGGACAGGAAGAGACTAAAGCTTGGCCTTGAATATTATCTATCCTCACGTTAGTAGGAAAATAATAACTACAACCAGTATGCAATCTTACTGTTAAAATATCTGTATATCTGAGCAGCAAAACATAAAAGAAATATGAACAACATTAAGTATCAATTGAAGTAGAACTATTGGAATGCACAGAAAAACAGTTTATTTAGAGAGATAAGGGAAGATACCTGTAATATAAGGCAAGAAGAAAGACGTTATAAAGGAAGAAAACGTGGAATCTTCAGCTATGAAAAATATTTGCATGGTAATAAAGAAACCAATATAAAAACTAAAAATAGGATAGGTACAAATACATAATGACTTTTTGAACCAGAAGGCCAGATTAGGAAACTCTCATAGAAGGTATAAAGAAAAACTAATTTAACATAGAAAAGAACATCTAAAAAACATAAAGGATAAAATTAGAAACCTCAAAAGGGAAGTTAACATGTTTAGGAAGAACATTTGAAGAAATAGGGAACATCTCCAGAATTAATGAAAAATGAAAGAACAAGAGAAAGAGGGAAATAGACACACATCTACAATCTGGTCAATAATAAAATTGTGGACATTTAGAGGATTTTAACAAAATTGAATTGAGAGCAGGCTAACACACATTAAGTGAAGAAAGTAGAGATATTAACAATAAGGAGAGACATTAGCAATAGCGATCATTATAAATACAAATATTTGGTTAAAGGTAGTCATAATAAGAACAAAAAGATGCTACATTTAAATCATCATCAAAGAAAAGCTGGAAGGAAGAAACTACTTTAAACATAATTTTTAAAATAGGCTGGTAACTGAAAATATAAAAAATTGGGAAAATCAACTCCTAGTGTAACAGAAATAAAAAATGTAAATGGACTAATCCCACAAATTTATGATTGGATTAAAAATAGGATCAAACCAGATATTGATCACAAGAGAAAAATTAAAATTAAAAAGCATTCAATTGTTCAAACAATAGGATAAAGAAAGATATAGGAGGTAAAACTGAATAAGAGAGCAGAAGCAGCAATATTAATACCTAAAAAAGAGAATTCAGTCCAAAACGCATCATCAGTAACAAAAGGGACATTATATAAAGTAAAAGGAAGAATATGGACATACATTCACCTAATATTAAAAGGCTCTAAAAATGTCAACAACCAGTGAAATGTGATAGATAAATCAATAATTGGAGTTAGAGATTTTAGCACACACTTCTCAGAAACTAATATATCAAAGGGAAAAAACCAAGATGCTGAAGCCATTAGCTTTTTATAGAAAACTGCATCTAAACAACAGAAAATAAATATTTTTTTCCAGAACATCTGAAACATTTATAAAAGTAGACTATTAGGCCACGAGAAACTTAGGAAATTCCAAAGGATCCATATCATATGGTCTATGTTCTCTGACCAAAATTCAATCAAATTAGATGCTAATTTACAAATATAAAACCATGCCACATATTTGAAAATCAAATTATGTATTACTATAAATAACTCTGAGAGGGAGGAAAACAATGAAATGTTTGTCAAAGAATGACAAACGGAAACACTTCAAGCACAAATCTGAAGACAGATGATTATTAATATATTCAAACATCCCTGTCATGAAATTTAAAAAGTTAAAATTTCAGTAACTAGGTATTGCTCGATCCAATGTAAAAAGAGCAATAGAGCAAACCTAAAGAAATAGGAATGAATGACCTAGGTAACAAAAACAACAGAAAAGATTAACAAAAAAGCCGATATGATAGGTTTCTAGTATGATTTATAAAAGAGAAAGAAGATGAAAGTTAAAAAATACAGGCAATATTAACTGAAAATAACTGTAGAAACACTTAGAAATAAATGAATGAAAGCACAAATGTACAATTCAACACTTTTTAGTAAATTTATGGAGTTGTACAACCACAACCGAATTTTAGATTATTTCCATTACCCCAAGAGTTTATTTACAGGTAATTCCAGCTCCCCGGACCAGCCTTAGGCAACCACTAAACTTTCTGAGTTTACCTTTTTGGATATTTTATATAAATGGAATCATAAATAATTGATTCTGGCTTCTAAACTTTGCACAATATTTTTGAGGTTCATCTGTGCTGTAACAGTATCCATGGTACATCCCTTTTTATTGCTGAATAACATTTCCTTGTATAAATATGGCTCATTGTGCTTATCCATTCAGCAGTGGACATTCAGATACTTGGGCTATTTTCAGTCTGGGATTATTAAAAACAATGCTGCAATGAATATTCACATGCCTGACTTGGTATGAACATGCATTTTCACTTCAGTGGGATAGTTCCAGGACTGAATTTGCTAGGTCATATTTAACATAATAATGTAGCATACTAAGCATCATATTGATAACATAACATCATAAAAATAACATGTCATATTAAAGATAAATTTATGTTTAACTTGTTCAGAATTGCCCAACTGTTTTCCCATGTACGTGCATCCTTGTATACTCTTCCCAACAATCTGTAAATATTCCAGTCTCACCACAACCTTAACATTTTGTATTTTCTATTTTTATGATTATAGCTGCACTTCATTGTGTAACTGTACTTCATTGTGATTTTAATGTATATTTATTTCCCTAAGTAATACCAATGTGGAACATCTATTTAGGTGTTTGCTTACTAGCCATTAATATATCTTTAGTGTAACATTTATTTTTAGTTTAGTTATTTGTCTTCTATAATTAAGTTGTAAGTGGTCTTTATCAATTGTGGAGGTCTTAACCCAACATATGATTTGTGAATATTTTCTCCCAGCTCATGACTTACTTTTTAACTGTCCTAATCTCTCATACGAAGCACAAAAGTTTCTGATTTTGATGA